ACAGAGCTACCAAAGCTCCTTACAGCAACCTGACAGTACAGAGTAAAACAGCCCCATAGGGTTTCCAAGGCTGTAATCTTCACAGAAGCAAACTGTCATATCTTTCTCCTGTGGAGCAGCTGGTAGGTTTAAACAGCCCACCTTTCGGTTAGCAGCTGAGTGCTTAACCACTGTGCCACTAGAGTTTCTTAAACAAACAAAAGTGTTGGTCAAACGATAAACCATATTTGTTCTTAATGTTCTACAAGTCTTAGAACTCCCCTCAAACTTTACCCCTTATTACTGCCAGATTCACAGGATTCCCAAAGGACTCCCAAGAAGCCCAAGTTTCTAAGACTCCTCCCTGTCTTCCATAGGCAGTGCTCCTATATTCCATACTGCTACACCAATTTGTGGCATCCGCAAGTTTATCTGATAAAATAATACAACAACAACAACAATGTTACCAATACCTGGGAAGGAAGATTGGGCAATCTAGTTCCGTAGAGATACTGCCTTGGAAACCCAAGGAGGGGTTGCTATGAGTCGAAATGGATTCAACAGCAGTGAGTTAGTAGTTTTTAGTTAAATGTTATCAATGTGTAACAACAGTTTAAAGTTTCTCTTCTAGAAAATTTGTAATTTTTTTTTTATCAGGGCAGGCATATACATATCATTTGCCATTTCAGCATTTTTTACATGTATAAATAAATGACATTAATTACATTCATCATGTGGTACAACTGTACCACTATTCTTTTCCAAATTGTGATTTTATACAAATAAGGACATTTTAAAAATAAATTACTTAACAAATTAAGTTGTTGTTATGTGCCGTCGAGTCGGACCCAACTCATAGCGACCCCTCCTTGGGTTTCCGAGGCAGAATCACCACGGAAGTAGATTGCCCCATCTTCCTTCTGAGGAGTGGCTGGTGGGTTTGAACCACTAGCCTTCTGGTTAGCAGTCAAGTGCGGCTTTGGCAATTCTCAACTTAGCCAACCACTTGGTTTACCTATTTGTAATGTAGGTCCAATTACAATTTAATACAGTTTAAATGAGAATTTAATGTCATCATCAGCCAGTAGTAAATATATGCCCAGCTTAGTGGTGCCATGGTTAAAGGATCTGGCTGTTTACCAAAAGGTTAACATAGCCTCTGTGGGAGAAAGATGAGGCAGTCTTCTTCCATAAAAACTTACAGCCTTAGAAACTCTATGGGGCAGTTATACTCGACTCAGTGGCACTGGGCTTGTTTTGGGTTTTGGTTTAGATACGCCTCATGCAAATGTCAATTAAGTGGGAATTAAAGCTGCAACTGTGTGGTTCTAACATAGGTCCCTTATCTGTTAAATCTCCCCACCATTAAAGTAGAACAAAAGACCCCTGTAGTCAAATCCAGTTAAAATCATCAGGTAACTTTTTAACCTACCCAGAAATATTACTTAAAGGAGCTCTGGTAGCATAGTGCCTAAGGCATCTGACTGCTAACCAGAAGGCTGGAGGTTCAAACCCACCAGTCATTCCTCAGAAGGAGGGTTGGGCAATCTACTTTCGTGGTGATACTGCCTCAGAAACCCAAGGAGGGGTCGCTATGAGTTGGATCCGAGGCGATAACAATGAGTCTGTTAAATCTTCCCACCCTCAAAGTAGAACAAAAGACCTCTGTAGTCAATCCAGTTAAAATCATCAGGTAACTTTTTAACCCACCCAGAAAAATTACTTAAGTGCACAGCATATGAGGTCTTCTAAATATATTTGTATCTTAAAGCATCTTTTCTACTTCATACCTTCACAATTAACTTGGGAAACAGCAGATAAATTGTTGTTGTTGTTATGTGCTATTGAGTTGGACCCAACTCATAGTGACCCCTCCATGGGTTTCCGAGGCAGTATCACTACGAAAGTAGATTGCCCAACCTTCCTTCCCAGGAGTGGCTGGTGGGTTCGAACCTCCAGCCTTCTGATTAGCAGTCAAGTGCCTTAGGCACTATGTTACCAGAGCTCCCGCAAATATAATTGTTGTTTGTTGTTGTTATGTGCCATCGAGTCGGCCCTAACTCACAGTGACCCCTCCTTGGGCTTCCAAGGCAGTATCACTACAGAAGTAGATTGCCCCATCTTCCTTCCGAGAAGTGGCTGGTGGATTTGAACCACGAGCCTTCTGATTAGCAGTCAAGTGCCTTAACCACTATGCTACCAGAGGTCTAATTAGCTATCACTTATTTCAAATTCTGGCAAACCACCTTATTATCTCATTAATCTAAATCACAGTCTCCTAAAACTGAGGTAATTTAGTAGCATTTTCCTCAATCTGTAATTAATTTGCTAGTTATAGGACTAGAGTCTAGGACAACATTTCTGAACCAGTACAAGTTTCTTTAATCAACACTGGAAAATAATTTTAGGAAGAAACTTCTTTACCAGCAACACAAACTGGGGATCAGCTAGATGAATTTGGGAAAACAAAATTTTTAATTTCCTAGTTTAATTTCCCAGTTATTCTGGAAAAAGAATAACTTTACCTACACAAGTGACTTGCCCAAAAGACACTACGTAGAATGAAGGACTGTAAAAAACATCAATCCTTTTTGGTATTTCTTCTATTCAATTCAATTTGGAATTTCCAACCAAAAGTTCACAAAGGTTAAGGATAACACCACTTATAGCTTTTATGTTCTTTCAATCCATACTTGTTGTTGTTGTTGTTGTTACGTGCCTTCGAGTCAGCCCTGACTCATAACGACCCCTCCTTGGGTTTCCGAGGCAGTATCACTACGGAAGTAGGATTGCCCAACCTTCCTTCCGAGGCGTGGCTGGTGGGTTTGAACCGCCAGCCATCTGGTTAGCAGGCAAGTGTCTTAGCCACTATGCTACCAGAGCTCCTAACCCATACTTAGAAGAGTTAAAAGAGCTCAGGTACTGAATAAACCTGTTGTCGTTATGTGCCGTTGAGATAGACCTGACTCACAGCGACCCCTCCTTGGGTTTCCGAGGCAGTATCACTACGGAAGTAGACTGCTCAACATTCCTTCCGAGGAGTGGTTGGTGGGTTTGAACCGTCAGTCTCCTGGTTAGCAGTCAAGTGCTTTTAGGCACTATGCTACCAGAGCTCCCACTGAATAAACCTAGTACTGAACAATTTGGGAGAATTCCTGAGAACAAATTCTATCTACAACACTCACTGTGCTATGTCTAAACCAAATATCACTTAAAATATTAATACTTAAAATATTAATGCTTTATCAACTACCCAAAAAGCTCATTAGAACACAGATAAAAGACTACACTAGCTCAAAACTTTATTTTTGATCCCTGTAAGTCACATATTTGGCCCCATTTTTCAAATATATTGACTCAGCACATCCAACATGCCTTCACCTCCATGTCCCATCTTTTATCCATCAGTTCTAGAAGAGAAATATGAAATGCAACTCAATCCTAAAAAAGACTGCTTCACATAAACCCAACCAAACCCAATGCCACCAAGTTGGTTCTGATACAGAGGAGAACTGTCCCATAAGGTTTCTAAGGAAGCAGACTGCCTCATCTTTCTCCCACAGAGCAGCTGATGGGTTCCAACCTGGGACTTTTTGCTCCTTGCTTAAGGTAAGAGCTACATTGTGTCTTGACTTTCCTTATGACCTTGGGCAAAACCTAGCAAATGAGAACTATAGTGATGTTTTGTGTATTGCCATTATTGAAATTTAATCCTAATATCATCCTAACAAGAGTGACATTTTCTACTCTGGAACTACAGAGCTAAGAGCTTTTGAGTTATATCAACTGATGTTTTACACAAACCACATATTTTTGATAAGTAAAAAAACAGTAAGGCTTCAAAACTCAAAAAGACTCAAAAATAACACTTGCCTGTAATGTAAAGAAAAAGGAAAAGAAAAAAAAGATGAAGAAAACTAGGTTTAACTTTCCATTTCCTTGCTTTTATAAGGATCACAGCAGGACGACAAACCAAATTTTAAAACTTGGCAAAGAACTGGGAGAATAGAATATAAGCAATCTACAATCTGAAAATTACACAGATAAATCTATCATTTCAAGTCACTAATTTGTATAACCATCAAGGGCAGTAATCTTGGCAATGCTTTATTAGCATTAGAAAAATAAACTCCTGCCTTGGAGGAACTTATGTCTACTAAGTACATTCCATTTCAGGATCTTAGGGCAGTTTACGAGCAGTATCTCTTTAGACTTCCCTAAGGTACTCTAAAGTGCTTTACATCATTCACATATCCAGTCACCACTAGGGTGAGAAGTAAATAAACACGATTTACTTATGTGATTATTTACCGTAGAATTCTAGTCAAGAGTGAAAAAAGTGAACATCTATACCGGCATTAAATACCCAAAAAGCGGAATGAACACTAAAGGATAGAAAAGCACCCTCCTACTAAACCACTATGGAAACCAAAGGCCTTCCACACGTTCTTTATTACCCCTCTTGAGTTGAAAAAGTAACAATGTCAACTCAACATATTAACAGTCCGGAAGATAAACAGAACTTAGCGAAATCCCTTCTTCCAGACCCTCAAAAAACGCTCATAACAACAGTGATACAGAGAGCAACGCCCCCCTAAAAGCATCCTAATTGAAAGAATGAAATGCCCCAAACATCAGTTGAACCCAAATGGTTAGAAAAGCTGGTCTTCTAACCCAATTACCCGGAGGAATCACAGAGTTTGGGACTAGGAACGTGAGATCGGGGGTGGGGGGTGGGTAGCAAAGTGAAATCTAACCCCAGAAATCACAACACAGGCCGCAGCCTGGGAGCTAAAGCTGGCGGGAAGTGAGCTCCCCTTCTGTTCCCAGGGGAAAGTCCACAGAAGAGCGGCTCCACACAGTGGACGGACAAGGCGCCAGTAGTGCATGCTTACCAAAGCGCCAGAGCCGCTGGAGGACCCGGTTGAGAAGGGGAGGAGATCCCGGCAGAGGGCCCTGGAACAGGAGGAGGACAGAGATTGGGAGCAGCGGCAGCGTCTGGACGAGGGGGATTACCTAACTGTGACGACAGAGAAGTGTCCTCAGGCTCCGGCGATGGTCCCGGCTGCGCAATGTGTAGTGTCTTTCCCGCTTAGCCCGCAGCAGCAACAGAACCAGATCCTTCAGCCAGTCGCCATTTCCCGCCTACCGACCTGCTGCACCGCACGGACAGGGACCCGGATGGAAAGCGGCCTCTCCGCGCAGGCGCTTTGACCTTCTCCTCCCCCTCCCGCCACAATTCCGCGAGGTGGGAGGGAAGAAATGCGGGCGGCCACAGCGGCAAAAAACAAACAAACAAACAAAAACACAGCTTTTGCTTCCGTGAAGAGTTAGAGTTGCTGCCGCCGGAAGAAATTAGCGAGTCTGAATTCCTGATAAAAACTGACAGCAGGGCCCTAGGACCGGAGAGAGTAACAAGGACAAAAACCTTTCAGGCTATGCCAGGGTCTGGGGGATATTTGTGCTTTTGGGGCCTCCGTAGCTGGGTGTGTAGTGGTCGCAGGGGGAGTAGGGAGTAAAGCGTTAGGAGTGGAGAGGCGGGGACCCAAAGGACGGTTTTTCCTCCCGCTGCTAACGGAACTGCTTAGGCAGAGAAGGGAGGGGGAGCGCGCCCTGGCCCTTGAGGCGGGGCTTGCGAACGCGCGCGCCCTGGCGGCGAAGGTTTAGTAACAGGGGGCGCGCCAGATGGGTGGAGTCGGAGTGGGACGGGCGGGACTAACAGCTTGGCGCGCTAGAGGAGTGGAGTGGCGAGTATTACCAAAGGCTGAGAAGAGGCTAGTCGTTTAACTCTTCTCGGTTCCCGGTGGCCCCGAAGGTCATTTTTCTAGCTCACCGGCTAGAGGGCATAGCCATTGTTCAAGGATCTGTCATAGGAATCCACACTCTTCGGCTGCACGCTATGTTGACGTTAGTTCTGTTGGCTGAGAACTGGGTCTTTCAAGTAGGCTCCATTCCGCAGGCCTGGGTCAGCGAAGGGTTGGTTTCACCGGCTGAGAATGAATCAATCCAGAGCGTCCAGTGCCAGAGTGAACCTTTCGGAATATCGGAAAACCAATATGTACTGAAAAAGCACAATGTGTTAAGAACGATACTGGATGTCAGGGATCCAACAGCGAACAAGGCAAAAACGAACATTACCAGGTTCACAGTCTATGAAGACGACACTTTAAATACAGTGTGAGAAAGTGCTTAGGAGGAGTGGCGTAAAAAGCGTTGTAGGAGCACAAGGGGGTGCAGGTGAGAGGGGGTCTTGGAAGGCTTTCGTGAGGTAGACATCTAAATGAGATTTAAAGGAAGAGGGGTATTGTGAGGGAAGGATATCTAGGTAGAGGAGTAACAGATGGAAAAGTCCAAAGACAAGATTGCCTTAGCTGTTGGGGGAAGTAGTTCTGTGCGCCAGGGAGAAAAGGCGTGGGAGAAGACAGTGGCAAGAGATGAGGCCGAAGCAGAGATACACCGTTGTGAATCTGGTGGTTTTTATTTCAAGGTGTGGAGCAGGTTGGCTGTCTTCGGAAAGCTTTAGATACTATAGATATATCCTGTCAGCATTCCATTTGTACTAAATCGTAGTACAGGGAGCTCTGGTGGGGTAGTCCCTAAGACATTTGACTGCTAACCAGAAGGCTGGCGGTTCAAACCCACCAGCCACTCTTGGGAAGGAATACTGGTCGGTCTACTTCCGTGGAGGTACCCCTTGGAAACCCAAGGAGGGGTCGCTATGAGTTGGATCCGACTCAATGGCAGTAAGTTTGGTTTTCTTGTTATACAGCAATAGAATATAAACTGATTAATTATCCCCATTGATTACCATTTAAAAAAAAAAAAAAAAAAACTCACTGCCGCAGTTCCGATCAGACTTAGGCGACCCCTTCTTGGGTTTCCGAGGCTGTATGACTACGTAAGTAGATTGCCCCATCTTCCTTCCGAGGAGCGGCTGGTGGGTTTGAACCGCCAGCCTTCTGGTTAGCAATCAAGTGCCTTACGCTCTATGCTAGTTGGTATCACTATGGAAGTAGATGGCCCAATCTTCCCTCTGAGGAGTGGCTGGTGGGTTTGAAGCTCCAGACTTCTGGTTAGCAAATGCGTTAGGCACTACCCCACCAGAGCTCCTATTGATTACAATAGTTACTTTAAAATTAGGTAAAAATTGGAGATAATTTTAAAAAAAATTAAAAGATTCAATAAGAATAGTTATTTAAAACTTTCCCTCTTAAAATATGCCATTTACAAAGCACATATTTTGGAATATATTGGTTAAATACCAAAATGTCACCTGTTTCATTATACTTTTTTAAAATGTGGCTACTACCTACATAACTATGAGACCAGAAGAACTAAATGGTGCCCAGCTATCACTGTCAACCACTTCGAGGAGGAGTCTATGTAGGAGATCCTGGATAGAGTGAAAAACAATGTGGAACAAAATTCAAAATCACAAAAAAAAAAAGACCAGGTTTGCTGATCTGATAAGAGCCTGGTGAAACCCCTGAGACCATGGCCACTAGCTGCCCCTTAGGTCTGGAATTGAACCTCCTCATGTGCCTTCTAGCCAAACAAAAAACAGGCATATAAGCTAAACATTTACATTAGGTAGATACACTCCTTGGAGAGATCACTCATGGGAGAATAGAAGAGTTGTGTATGCACAGGGAGATGGCTTGGGGGGCAAGGGTACATGGGAGGCAAGGACACAGGGAAGAGGTAACTATGGGGAGGAAGTGGCAAGAGAGGTGTTGCCTTGTGGGAAATTGCAGTCAATGTCCTGAGACACAGTGTATGTGAACTGCTGTATGGAAAATGAATTTTTCTGTAAACTGTCACCCAAATCACAATTAGAAAAAAAATAAATGTGACTACTAGAAAATTTACAATCACATTGGGGGCTCAAAGGCCCATATGGCTTCCTTGATGGGAATGTATTAATGTCACACTGATTATCTTGTTGGAGTGATAGCCTCCCTCCAATGTAGCAGAAGAAAAATTTCCAAGGTTAACCCTTATAGAAAATGACTATCTCCCTTGTAAGTATGGGAGGTTATTTCTTTGCTTTACAGGTGTTCTGTCATATTCTACCAAATTCTGTTTTTACATGACTGTACAAATGATAACTCAAAAAGTCATTGTCTATGTATGTTACTGTTATCTCTGACCAATAAATAAAGTTATTCTGTTTCCCTTTACTTACCATATCCTACCTGAACTGCTCCAACAGCCTCCTAATGAGCAGTGTGCTTCTTTTTTACCTGTATAATCCATTCCCCATGCAGCAGCCAGAGAGAGAGTTCTAAAATATAAATCAGATCTTGTCACTTGCCTACTTAAAATCCTCCAATAACTTTTTACTACATTTAGGAATCAAATCCAAACCCTTACCATGACTTAAAAGACACCTTTGCCTATGCCTACTTTTTTTCATTCAGTGTTACTTTAAATTCATGACCACCCATCTTTTTTTTTTTTTTTTTTGGGTGAAGATTTACAGAGCAAATTCACTTTTCTTACAGCAGTTCACATATACATTGTGTCATGTCATTGACCACAATTTACCACAATGCAACAGCTTCCCTCCCACTTCCTCCCCATAGTTACCTCTTCCCAGTGTCCATCCCTCCAT